AGTGCAAAACTCATGTGGGAGGTGATGTTTCCAGTGAGAATATGAATTTCACTTGATCCTCATTATTTGAAGATTCCATATTTGAGAACTTGCCTACTCCCTGAAGTTTATTTGTATTCCTGAAATCAACACTCAAGAAGCTTTCCAGGTTGTTTGAGAACACAGGGCAAACGGTGAAAAATGGAGATGTGCAAGGTTCACACTCCCAGCGGAGGTCAAAAGGTCACGCTCTGCCTTCCTGACTCAGCTCTTACACTGAAACTAGTGTTCTTTTCCCAGTATAGTTGGTGCTAGACTCTTCACATTTTTGCACCTTCCGTTGGTGATCTTGATGTTTTCGATGGCCCCCAAGTACAGTGCTGAAGTGCTAGCCAGTGTTCCTAAGTGCAAAAAGGCTGTGATGTACCTTACGGAGAAACCTGTGAGCCAAATCATCTTTGTTCAGGCATGAGTTACAGGGCTGCTGGCCATGAGCTCAATGTTAGTGAATTAACTATATGTAACACAGTATGTCTTCACATAGAAACATACATGAAACAAGGTTATGTATTGATCAGTTTTTGAAAATGCCAGGAGCAGAGGTGAGATCCTAGCTAGTCCCATATTTCCCTCAAGAGTCAGTATTTGCCAACCCCCTGTTCATGGCAACTTTATAAACCATGTGTGTGTTAGCTGCTCAGTCATGTCTGATTCTTTGCGATCCCCTGGATTGTAGCCTGCCAGCCTCCTCTGTCTATGGAATTCTCCAGGCACGCATACTGGAGTGGGTTGTCATTCCCTTCTTTAGGGAATCTTCATGACCCAGGGATCAAACCCAGGTCTCCTTCATTGCAGGTGGATCCTTTACCATCTGAGCCACTCTGGAAGCCCCTTTATAGACCATAGCCACCAGGAATACCAAGACTGGACTTATCTTGTTGAGGAACACTCACAGAGCATCAGTGACGATTGGAAATGTTGTGTAGCATTTCTAGCTAGAAGTCACTATGGATACACATGAGCTGACCACTGATGCAGACTTCTTCCCCTCTCCTGGAACTAACCTCCTCCAAGCAGTAGGATTGAGCCACCATCATAGTAAAGATTCACAAGTGAACGAAAAGGAAAGCAAAAACGCAATACACCGGAATGTGTACAGATGTGTGCATAGGTTCCAGTGCAAAATCTGTGGCAGAATGTAAGGATTCATGCTGCCACCTGGGCTTCAGAGCTCAGAGAAAGCAGGAGAAGGTAAGTGAAATTGATCTTTGTTATCCACAGACACCTTTTAAATTAATGGTATCATCCTAACCCCAAATCTCTCAAGGACATTATTCAAATACCAAAGTGAAATTTAAGAACAACCGCATGGAGACTTCCCTGGCCATCCAGTGGTCAAAGAATCCACCTTCCAATGTGGTGGACATGGGTTTGATCCCTGGGCCGGCAACTAATATCTCACATGCTGTGAGGCAACTAAGCCCGCGTCAGGTCACAACTATGGAGCCTGCGTGCTCTGGAGCCCGCGTGCTCCAGCTAAAAAGCCCATGCACCACAGCTAAGACATGACATAGCCAAATAAATAAATATCTGTTAAAAAAGAACAACAACATAAAATATTTTCAAGGGAAATTTCCAAGGTGAAGTGTTTCCTTTACATACTTGAAAAGTGTTCTGAGATCCTTTGGTCAATAAAACATGAAATTAAATGCATAGGTGATTTTGCAGAGCGGGTTTCTAACATTTAAGAAAAAGCACTGAGTGAATCCGTCTGGTTACACAGGTCAAAGATGCTGTGCTTATCTGGTTAGTATGTGTCAGGTGCTAGCAGACACACCCAGTGGTAAAGAATCCGCCTGCCAGTTTAGGAGATATAAGGGACTTGGGTTTGATCCCTGGGTTGGGAAGATCCCCTGGAGGAGGAAATGGCAACCCACTCCAATATTTTTGCTTGAGAACTCCCATGGACAGAGGAGCCTGGCAGGCTACAGTCCATGGGGTCGGAAAGAGTTGGACATAATTGAGTGAGTACTCATGCAGCAGGACACACAGAGGCAGCAGCAACGTTTTCCCCAACCTCGAAACACATTCGTCCTCTGATAATTATGTTCCGGTATCATCTATACTGGGGAAGATCAACCACCTAGGAATTAATCTGTAAATATGTGAGGGAAGGATCTTGAAAATCGTAGCCAAGGCTCTACCAGAAGAATAAGGTATTAACAGATCAACGCGTCTCCAGCTACTGCCTAATCTACTGTGCTTCATCCTGCATCCAACCAAAGAGAGGGTGGATTGGATGATCAGCAACATGTAGACCATGTCAAAGAATGAGAGTCTGCACTATCCAGAAAGGACAGACCACCCGGCGGGAGAGTTGGGGGCCCTTCTGCAGTGGTGTCCCAGCAACGCCAGCCTTCCTGTTATGATGACTTTCACTCAGCACCCCTTGAGGTTCTCTGCCCAGAGCTTTACTCCAGCCACTGAAGCCTGCTCTGATCAGGTACCTGTGGGACAGGCTGGATGTGGCCTGGGAATTAACGCCTCCTAGAAGCAATCCTCCACCCATGACTGATGATAGAAAAATTGTGTGCTTTACTCAGAGTTTCCTCCTCTGAACTGATACGAATCTCCAACTGACCACAGCAGTAATTGGGTTGATACCATGGTCTTCATTGGCTGCCCCGTCTCCATTGTCACATCTTCCCACTTTCCTACCAGTAACTCATTCCCTTTTCCAATAAACTCTCATGCTCACATGTGCTCAGTCATGTCTAACTCTTTGTGACCCTGTGGACTGCAGCCTGCCAGGATCCTCTGTCCCTTGGATTTTCCTGGCAAGAATACTGGAGCGGGTTGCCATTTCTTCCTCCAGGGGATCTTCCCAACCCAGTGATTGAACCCGTGTCTTCTGTGCCTCCTGCATTGGCAGGCAGACTCTTTACCACTCAGCCACCTGGGAATCCCCTTCCAATAAATGACTTGCATTCAAATCTTAATCTCAGATTCTGACTTCTCATAGAGTTTCTTTACAAAAGTTCTAGTCTCTAGCTCAATTACATTTCTGATTGTATAGCATCAAGTAATTGATGTTTAGTTTGTACATTTGTCTTTTATTGGTTTGGCTAATGGGAGTCAGTCCCCCCCATCCTGCCCCCCAGGACACAGACAACTCTGGGTAGATGGACAAAGTGTAGACACGGAGTGTCAAAAATTAAAAAATTATCACTGTGAGATGTTTTCTCACTTACCTACTAAACATTTGATCTCATCTAACAAGAAGATATATAGATTCGTTTTATCTTGATTTCCTCCCCAAAGCTGGAGAGAAAGAGAGACTCACTGGAGGGAGGGGGATTCATTATTTAATGGGTATGCACATATATCAGGTCTGTACTATGACAACAATTAAAAGGACTATAGTCTGTTTAGGTATTTCTGATGACTATTGTAAGTAAAGGGAAAATCTAAACTAATAGTAATATTGACATAAAGTATAAACAGTTGCATGTCACTCTGGGGAAAACTGTGGTTTAGCAAAAGATCTGTGAACTAAATTCCATAGCTCCTGCCGTTGGGTCTGGCACTTTTCAGAGATGGGACATTAACGCCCCAAGCCTCACTCACTTTTCTGTTTGTGAGATTAGGGGAGGAGGAACAATCTCTGAGGATGGCTGTCATGGGAACCAGGAGAGACAAAACACCCAGCCCAACAGTTATTAAAAAGGGCCTTTTCCCTTGGCTCACAGAAAAACGAAAGAGGAAAATACTTTTGGTGAAATTCAAAGTGTTTTATAGTTGGTTAGAGAGAGAGTTGCTAGACAGCCATACGTAGGGGTCACAGAGATGACAGAAATGGATGGTCAGCTCCCTTCACTTATATGTGCCTTTGGGGACTTTCCCCCCAGTAACAATACCCAATTCATTATGGTAATTATCTTAAAGAGATAGAGTTATATTCTGTCTGTGTGATTCCATGTCCAGTTCACCTCTATTGTCCTAGAAACCTGGGAGGAGCCATAATCAGCATGCACCTTCTACAGTACGGATCTTTGCAAGACTAAGATGGAACCACGGTGACCCTCATCCCCTCCCCTGGATGAAGTTCAGGTGGGCACTGGCAACATTCTGCCCCTGGGACTCTCCTTTTTGCACTTTTACCTTTGTAACAAGCCTCTATCTGCCTCATTCTTCCTTTATGTTGCTTATCCCTGGGGGCTCAGACGGTAAAAAATCTGCCTTCTATGCAGGAGACGTGGGTTTGATCCCTGGGTCGGAAGATCTCCTGGAGAAGGGCATGGCAACCCACTGCAGTATTCTTGCCTGGAGAATCCCGTGGATGGCGGAGTCCATGGGGTTGCAAGAGTCGGACATGACTGAGCAACTAACAGTAAGAAGCGTGTGTCTGGGTCTCAGATCCACTATGAGAACAGAGTGTACAGCTCATGTTACTCTGTGATTAACTTGGAGTGTATCTAACTGCTTTTTTCTTTTTTCAAGTCTCAGGTGATACTTACTTCCCGGATCAATTTTTATTAGTAGAGTAATAAAAACTGGAAACTGCTTGGTTGAAGCAAACCCTTTCCCTGTCTTCAGAGAATCTTGTTTAGTGTCCATCTTCTTTTACCAATAGGATGCTGTGTCCTTTCACATACATACACAGGGACTACATTCAGAGTACGAGGTCATTACCAACCCAATTGTATATGGCTAATTGTATAGGTCTAATTGTATACGTATATGCATATATGGATATGCTAATTGTGGGGAAGGACATGGCAGCCCACTCCAGTACTCTTGCCTGGAGAATCCCATGGACAGAGGAGCCTGGTGGGCTACAGTCCATGGGGTTGCAAGAGTCGGACACGACTTAGCAACTAAACCACCAACACCACTACCATATGCTAATTGTATATGGCTTTTTGAATATCTTCTTCTTAACAGAATTTTTTTAAAGGAGAGGTGGAATAAGAAAAGCAGATAACGCAGGTTGCAGGCAGAGAGCTATGAGAATTGCTCACCTCCACAGACCACGCCGTCCAAATCTTCACAGCGACGATCGTCACATTCACAGGTCTTGCCGTACACCCTGCTGTCTCCCGGCGGGTAGCAAGTGCACTTGCCACATTCACACTTACCTGCAAAACACACAGGGAAAACACACTCATCAGGAGACTCACGGAATCAGGAAGACTTCTCAGGAAAACAAGCATCTGATTAGACCCAAACCTCCTGGATCAATATCTAGTCTGTGCCTGCTACAATTCAGGAAATACCTTTTCCTACATCCCTAAGTTTAAGCTGAGGGTCAAGCATAAATGCCAAGGAGGTTGAGCTGGAGCTGAAGTGACAACTCCTGGCTCATAGGTGACTCCCGTTTTCTACTTTCCATGTTCTGTTTCATTCATTTTTGAAGACTAATTTCAATGATGAAACTCCCTGGATATTTCATATACCACTTATGAGGAGACCATTTAACATAACTGAATCAATTTTATTTATTCTGACACAATTTGAACTAATATGGTCATTAAAAAATATTTTTAATTTGAGTCTGTCTGCCATATAAGAAAAAAAAAATCTCATGGAAACATTTCAACCTGATATTTTAGTGGTGATTTGGTGTCAGTTTTTGAGTTCACAGAATTCATCTTAACATGGAACATGGGTCAGAGTTCATGTCCTAAATACCCTTATTAACCTTGACTTAAAGTTTAAAAGTAGAAACTTGTTTTGGAATTGAGTTTGGTTCACAGTTTGGGAATTTCTTAATTATTTTCCTTATGACTTTCGTCATTATTTCCTGAGCTATAACTATGCCGCAAACACTATAATTTCTTCAATTCCATCCTTTTGTATTTATGATACCACACATGCACTAACATTATCACTATCATTTTTCTAAACAGGAGATGGAGACATATTGAGACCAAATAACTTTCTCTGCTGAACCAGCTCTCGAGGGATAGATTCCGAATTTATATCTATTCCCACAAACTTAAAGTTTGTGCATCTAAACATTCGGCCATACTGTATCTTAATATATCATAACGGAGCTCCAGGAGGCTGTATGAGAAAGCACAGTTCTTTTTTCCTGAGGAATTGGGACTGGTTTGCCAGGAATTCAGCCGAGTGACTATTCGAGGACATCTGTTAACTCCCTGTCATTATCCCAACCATCATAATTACACACCCACTGAAAGGATCAGAAGATACTTCAGGGCTGACCCTGCAATGTTGTTAGTCATTCTGTTACTGCATTTGTATCACGTTAAAGAAATTCTGAGCTGGGACATGATAGGAAAAAGAAAAATTAGTATTTAGAATCATATCACTTCGGGGTTGTAATTAAAGATAATCTAAGGCAGTGATTCATAATCTTTTCTGGCAGAAGTGGCAGGGTCATGGTCCCTTTGAGAATCTGGTGAAAGATACGGCGATAGATAGTGTTGTTCTGGCCGCCCTTCACCCCGTTTTTCTACCTGGAGGCAGAGCTGAGTTCAGCAGGGGACAGAGCCCCCTCCCCAGTGGCATCCCCTCTCCCAGCGGGCTGGCAGACTGCGCAGGGACACACCAGACGCCCTTGGTCAGGGCGTGGATTCTTGAGGGTGAAGGCAAGGCACAAGGACCGCGGCAGAGTGGCGAGTCTGAGCGCACAGCGGTGGCTCGAGGCAGGGAGGCTGAAGCTCCCAAGCGATGGCCGGTTCGCGGCAGGGCCTTGCTTCCCTGGGTCGCTGTGTGAGGGGACTGTCCGAGCTTGCACTCTGAGCCCAAGCCCTTGGAACAAAATATTTTTTTCATCTCAGTGAATAAAGTTGGTGTCCATTGTTAGCAATCAAGAATTCTAACTGGTAGACCCCAGATCCGTCCCTGGGAAAACATATACCAGCATGCATTTATTTTTAGTAAAATGTCATAAGGATCCATGAGTTTCTACAATTATTTAAGAGATGAGGAAACTCAAGTACGCTGAGGTTAAATGGCTTGCCGAAGGCCAGCGAAGTAGACATTAGCCATATAGCCATGTTGGTGTTAGAACCCAGATTTTCTGAGCTCTGCATAATATTGCCTGCTGTGCATAAACACACTGGCCCTGTCACGAGTAGATGTGTGAATGACGACAGTGATCCGGACTGTGGGCAGAGGCAAACTACATACAGCAGCAGTGAGCATGGTTGACTAGTCCATGATGGACAGACGTGAGAAACGTGAATCACACCATTCCTGAGACGTAATCCTTCCCCGGTTACCAGGACAACATCAATTCTTAAGTTTGAGGATGTATGTGTTTATGGTGACCATTTCATTAACATGTTGAGGCATATAAGAAGTTTCCTGACTATGTATTATTGGTTTCTTTGACAAGCATGAACTAACTACTGGCATATGTGTTTATTTTATTTTTCACTTGAGGAAGAACTTTTTTAATTAATGTACTCAATATCTATGACTTAGTCATAGTTCAAAAGATTAAACAGAAATATCTATCAGATCCAGACTCATTAATAAAATTATGGTATATAAACAAAACAGAACATTAGAGCATATGAGGTTTTTTTTTCCCTTTGGCTGCTCCTCACAGCATGTGGGATTTTAGTTCCCCAACCAGGTACTGAACCCAGGCACTTGGCCATGAGCGTGCAGAGTCCTAACCAGGGAACCACCAGGGAACTCTGCATAGGGGTTTAAATATCTACATTTCACTGGCCGTATATTCCAGAACTTTCTCTGTAAAATTCAACCTAGTGTTCAATAGCCTATTTAAATCTAATCTCCTCCATAAACCCTTCCTCGTTCTCCCTGATTCGTTTAGTCACCTGTCAGAATGCAATCTTCTCTCTGATCCCACAATACTGAGTCCACACCATTAGTAGATCACTGAATGCAAACTTTATACTAAATACACGCCTGAGCGCTACTGTAAGTGGTGATGTCTTTGTTTCAGACTGTGGGTGGGTTCATGCAGTGACAGACTTTATTTTCTTGGGCTCCAAAATCACTGCAGATGGTGACTACAGCCATGAAATTAGAAGAGGCCTGCTCCTTGGAAGAAAAGCTATGTCCAACCTAGACAACATATTAAAAAGCAGAGACATTATTTTGCCAGCAAAGGTCTGCATAGTCAAAGCTGTGGTTTTTCCAGGAGTCATGTATGGATATGGGAGTTGGACCATAAAGAAGGCTAAAAGCTGAAGAATTGATGCTTCAAATTGTGGTGCTGGAGAAGACTCTTGAGAGTCCCTTGGACAGCAAGAAGATCAAAGCAGTCAATCCTAAAGGAAATAAACTCTGAATATACATTGGAAGGACCGATGCTGAATCTGAAGCTCCAGTAGTCTGGGCACTTGATGCGAAGAGCAGATTCCTTGGTAAACACCCTAATGCTGGGAAAGATTGAAGGGGGGGGTGGTGGGGAGAAGGGGATGACAAAGGCTGAGATAGTTGGGTGGCATCACCGACTCAGTGGACATGAGTTTGAGCAAACACTGGGAGATGGTGAAGGACAGGAAGCCTGGAAGGCTTGGAAGGAAGCCTGGCCTACTGCAGTCCATGGTGTGGAAAAGAGTCAGACACGACGAAGTGATTGAATTGAACTGTGGGTGGGATCTGTAACTGTATAATATCTGTGATAGATATTATTATTTACATATTTATAATTTAAAAACATGTTGAGAAGTTGTAATTTCAATAACTCACATAAAATCCATTCCTTTCTATTTCTCCCCCCAAAAAATCAACTATATTTTCTGATCCAGAATGAGATTATTTAAGAGGAACAACATATCATCAAAGGCACCTGCCAGCCTGGTAACAGCAGTTACACTCTCTTCAACCTTATTTTCTTCCACTTTTTAAAACGGCAAAAACCACACTTGCATACAGGCTCAACAGTGGGAGAGTAATTAGAGGCTCACATAAAACAGAAAAGAGATTAGCACTTCACTAACACAGTCGTCCTTCGCCTAAAATAATAGGTTTACCATAGCAACCTGATTGCACCAGGAAAAGCTCCTGCCAAATGCATCTGAAGTTCCCTTGAAATTTCCACAAGGAGGAATTAAACCCTTGAGAACTATAATATTCTGTACCATTTCATCTAAATACAAACATTTTGTGTGCGAGAATAAAGTCATCTTCCATCAGACAAATTTACAGTGAAGAGGCACCTTCACCTACTGCTTCAAAGTGAGCAGTAAGATGTCTTATAATTCAAGCCACACTGACACTACTTCAACTAGTCAAGGAAGAGATGCTGGTGACTTTTTAAAAACGAGGATAAGTGTCAATCCTTCCATTCATGTTTTTTTAGTATACAAGGATTAAAGTAATCAATCACAGACCTTTGTGCAGAAGGTAAAGAATCTGCTTACCAATGCAGGAGACTCAAGAGATGAGGGTTTGATCCCTGGGTTGGGAAGATACCGTGGAGGAGAAAATGGCAAGCCGCTGCAGTATTCTTGCCTGGGAAGTTAAATGGACAGAGGAGCCTGGTGGACTACAGTCAGTGGGATCTCAAAGAGTTGGACACAACTTAGTGACTGAGCATGCACGCAAGACATTTAAGCAAATGATGTACTAATATCATTTTCTGTTGTCTGTCTAGAGTGTCTAAAACTGAAATTGCGATATGGGAGCACCGGACTTCACTTTTCTGTAAAGCTTTCCCAAGGTCTTGACGAGACTATCACAGAGGAAGTCTATTAGACCTTGAAGTAAGATGATCTCATTATTCACCCTTAAGATTAGTTTCTATAACAACAACTAAAATTACTCAATTCAGTTATTTCTAACAAAAATTTTATAAATTAGGTAGCCATATCACACTCATTTACCAGTATAAGCCAGAAACTAAGCAATAGTTTCAAGGTTAAAAAAAAAAAAACAGAATGAATGGAATTGGAAATCTGGAGCTTAAGTAATTAATCAATGTGGTCAATCCCGAATGAGGCAATATAAAGGAGAAAAGGAATCTCCTTCTTCCTAGCTGGTAAATCTATTGGGCCAGACAGTGGGTGGCACCTTGCTTCACAAAGTTTAGGGATTCTGCAAGCAAAAATCAGCCAGAAAAAGAAAGAAAACTCAGTCAGTTACAGTGAGGTGAATGAACCTAGAGTCTGTCATACGGAGTGAAGTAAAT